ATTTTTCAAAAAAAAAAAAGGAAAACAAATACCAAATTAAAAAAAATATTTGAAATCAAAAAATATACCAACACCTAGTATAGCAAAATATTAAATAACCAAAAAATATTATTTCCATAAAAAATATTCAAGCTTTTCCAAATTCCTCATTTTATATATACTTCATTCATTCCACTTATTGTTCATAGGCAGTGCAAATTATTATTGTCATAAAATATGGGGTTGTACCTAAGAAAAAAATATGTTTTTTTTTTTTGTCTCGATTTAAGCCCTGTTTAAATGTTACGTTGTTGGTTTTTTATAAAAAATAATATTTCTGTTTAAAACCACTACAAAAGTTAAAAAAATATTTTCTTAAAATAAATTATTTAAATAAATAAATATTTTTAAATAAAAATAGGAAATGTTGTGCATTTTTTGTTTCCACTTAAGCATTACATTCATTATAATAAATAAATAGTTGTTTTTTATATAAATTTGTTTAATATAAATTTTGTTTCTTATATAGAATTTTTCGATTTTTGTCTAATTGCAATTGTTTTTTAACATTTTTTTAAATTCTGGTTATATATGATATGTTTATGTATGTTTTTATATATAGCAAATGTTTACCTGTTAACTGTTTTTAATAGGTCCTTAACCAAAGTGAAAAAATTAGCATAAAATATGTCTTGAGTAGCATAAATAAAATTTTGTAAAAATAATATAGCCCTAAGATGAAGAAACCCAACACCATTTGTTTTGTATTTTATTTTTCGTTTTTTTATAAATAAAATGGAAAGATTCAAAATGTGTAGCCATATGTTTCAACAATGCACTCTTCTTAAAAAAAAAATAAATTTAATATTTTTTTTACATTTTTAGGAATTATGGGCATTAAGACTTTTTCATTTTTACAATTGAGATTCATAATCATTCCCTTTCAAAGGGCTCTGAATATAATTAAGTAGGCTATCAAGTAGGCTTCACACAGATTTTAAATGATGTGCTTTACTAAAAATCCTCTTTTACTTGTCGTATTCACAATCTAATAAGGCTTTATTAGATAATTAAGAGCATTCATACGCCCTGATGTACCGAGTATTGGAATAAAATTACTAACATTCATACGCCGTAATGTCCGCATATGGATTTTTTGAGAACTGCAAAACTGTCCTGAGAATAAGAATGATATTGCCTTCTAATAAAACATATATTTGCAGACAAAAGGCTTTTTTTTGAGGTTATTATCCTAAAATTGAAAAAAAAAACTCATTAAGCATTTGAGCAAAAAAATAACTACCACATAATTCGGAAATTGTAGGTAATTAATGGTTAAAACATTTGAATTTGGAAAATCTGGCTCCGAAAAAATATTTTCATTTAACTTGGCGTAAATTACATGAATATTGTAATCGTTACGGGGAAAACCACTGAAATGCTACAAATCATCCTACCGATATTGTAGAGTTCTATGAAATAATTATAGACTTCAAAAAGTCAATATGAAGATTTTTTTCTACAAAATAATCATATGCCGTCTAGATTAATATTATCGGTCTTTAGTGGAATTTAATGAAACAAACTTTTAGTTAATTTTTTAAAAAAAAAAAATAATAATAAAATAAAACAAAAAAAAACAGCTGAGTTCCGGGAACGAACTTTCAATACCCTCCACGATTTACAAGGAACTTACAATTTTCAAAAAAAAAAAAAAAAAAAAAAAAAAAAAACTTCCGGAAACTACCACTTAAATGAAAATTGTTATACGGGGACTATACGAAGACGTGGACCTGCTTACAAAATTTTTTGTCATAGGCTGTTGTACCTATGACGAACTTTAAATATGAAATTTTTTACAATTCCGGTGAATAATGTCGCACAAACATTAAAATACCGAGTATCGGGAGGTACTGTCATATATGGGCTATACGAAGACGAGAACCTGCATACAAAAATTGTTGTCATAGGCTGTAGTACCCATTACGAACTTTAAATATGACATTTAAAATAATTCCGGTAAATACTGTCGCTAATATCAAGAAAATGCCGAATATCGGGAGATAGCGTTATATATGGGGCCTATACAAAGACGTGGACCTGCCTACGAAATTTTTTGTCATAGGCTGTAGTACGCATTACGAACATCAAATACGAAATTTGAAATGATTTCGGTGAACAATCTTGCACAAATCATAAAAATACCGAGTATTGGGAGGTACCGTCATTTGCGGGCTATACGAAGACGTGGACTTGCATACAAAAATTTCTTTTGTCATAGGCTGTAGCACCCATTACGAACTTTAAAAAAGAAATTTGAAATAATTCCGATAAATACTGTCGCTAATATCATGAATATACCAAGGTGTCGTTGTATGGGGGTTGTACGAAAACGTGGACTTGCCTACATATAGACAGCAAACTTTCCAAAAGTATAGGACCTTCGAAAAAAGTGCAAGCCGTTTCATAAATTGATGAAATTTCAAAGTTCTCGTACAGATCAAAAAAAAACACTTTCTAAAGCTCTTCCTCCTCCCGGTTCCAAAGGTATTCGAGTGCTAAAACGTCGTCCAAAAATATTAATTTGCAATAGGTCTTCTGTAGATATTAGACCTTTTAAAGTCTTCTTGACTTAGAAAGCCTTTGATAGATAAATATTAGAACTTTCGAGCGATAAAACGTCTTCCAAAAATATTAATTTTTAATAGGTCTTCTATAGATATTGGACTTTTTAAAGTCTTCTTGACTTAGATAGTCTTTGAAAAGTCATTTATATGTGGAGCAAGGCCTTTCAAGGTCCTTCTGGGATCTCCCCCCAAAAATCCTGTGCGTATAGAATATTTTATCTCCGTTAGATGAAATATAATCCAATCCAATTGTGCCTTCTTGCGGACTCTTTGCTATAACTATAAGAGATTTCAACGAACTTTTACGCATATAAGTCCTTTTGAGAGACTTATAAAAATGAAGGACCTTTTAAAGAAAGCAATGTATAAGTAACGTAGATATATTCCTTATAAACAACTTGTAGGGTTTTTTTTGGAATATTTTAAAGATTTTTTTAGGTGCAAGAAAATTGAAAACCTTCTGAGGAAATTCCAAATTTTTCTTGATTTTCTGTGAAACTAGGTATTTTTCTAGATGTTCTCTGAAAAGAATAAAAATTCCATCAAAAAAATATTGTTATTGATATAATACCATCTAGAATTCTATGCGTGGTAGGATCTTAATATCCCGTCAGGATAACAAAATGTAAGTCAAATCCTTTCACATATTGTATTTTTTTAAGAAAATTTTTTATTTTTTACTCATATGAATAGGAGTTAGCTCACAATGTGAAGAGGTCATTTTTTTACAAAAGCTCAAAAGTAACAGATGATGACGCTATTGTGAACGAGTGTAATAAAAAATGTAAATGGATTTTATTAAAAAAAATATTTTCTCCATTTTTCAGACTTTCTTTTATCCACAGAGCCTTTGCTTCAAAATGCCCACAGAATTGTCAAGGGAGACTATTTTTGATATGAAGTAGGACATTTCTTTACAATATCTTACAGTACGTTTATATATAAATGGGTTAACCGACTGGATTTGGATTAAAATTGTCATATCCATTACTTACACTTCAAATAAATCCTCTCAAAGTAGGTTAACCCTACAAAAAGTTCTAACGTAAACATGGCATTAACTGCATATATTGCGGTGACGTATGTATTCCCTATTCTTCGGCAGGAGGGCGATTTTTATTACACAATTGTCATAAATAATCATAACTCGTTATTATTTAATACGTTTCAAAATTAAAAAAAATCATATTTTAGTTAAAAAAATATTAAGTTATTTATTTCTTAAAATTTATTTTCGTTTCATTCAAAATTATATCTGACCACACATTTTTAAATATTTTCCTTTTTATTTATTATTATTTTTTCAATTTTTAATGTATTAAACCAATCAATTCAAATTTTGTTATATCAAACCTTTTCCACGACGATATCATGAAAAGACTGAAATATTTAAAAAGTAATGAATTATAGAATTTATGATTAAAGGGTCCATAGCCAATTGGTTAACAAATTTTCATGTTGTTATTGTTGAGTATATCCTTGCGTAGAAGTTTCCATAAAATTGTGTTAGTAATGAGTTTAGCTTCGAGAGGTAGGAAATGTGGGAGTTGATACGAATTATTTGAGTGGGGGGTCAAACGGGGTGTTCACGTTATGCAAAATTTCAAAAATCTGGGTTATTTTGCATACCAACACCCTGTGAAAAAATCACACATATCAAAAAAAAAAAAAAAATAAGGATATCCTTTAGAGGAAAATCCTCTCTCTGTGTGTGGTGGGTTTTGCGTTTTCAACAAAACTATGCGAAAAAATAATTCTCTTTGGGAATTTTGTTGATTTTAGCTTGGACATCTGGATGATGTAGCCGCTGTTGTGACATGCAGAGTTGTAACAAATTTTAAAAAATCTCCAATTTTATTTTCACCAGAAAAAAATGTCCCATGTTCTGGTGGGGTTTTGTATGGCCATTGAGGTGATGATGTTGGGCAGCCGTCCTTTGGTGAGTTTAAGAAAACAAAAATATATAAAGACGAGAAAAATATGCAATACTGCCAGATGTCATGGCTGTAGCGTTTTAAAATCTTTCATCCTCCAACAAAATAGAGGGATTACCAAAAGGGATGTTTGATGCAAAAATAACATCCCTTTCAAAAGCTTTCGTTCTTAACAACATACAACTGTTAATGTTAATTTACAGAGGAAAGAAATTAAGGAAAATTAGTTGTTTGCCAACATTTGTTTACCAACGGATAATGTTAAACTAAAATGGTAGTCAATTTTAGCCGAACAGAGGCTGGTTTTACATTAACAGAGTATGGGAGGAAATATGTACTAACAAAAGTTATTAATGTTAATTGTGGATAGCTGATACATGTTAGCATTATTTTAATTTTATTTTGTTTATCAAAGAGAGGTAAGAAGAAGAAAGCTGTGTTACAGAAATGAAATACCAACCTGGCCTTAACCGATGTTACAACCGTACCCACAGTGACATTTTCACGTATATGTATTGGCCCGTAAACACTTTTATCCCAAATCGGTGGCTTATTATTGCGATCGACCACATCTAATTCAACATCGACATCGGCATAGGATGGCGGTTCGCCACGGTCGGAGGCGCGCACCCGTAAACGATAACGCTCACGCTGTTGGTGAGATGATGATGAAGATTTTTTTTGTTATAGATAAAATGTGGTTAAATTTTGTTTTCACTTTTTGTCTTTCAGTTATTTGTTGCATATAATCTTAATAAAATATAATGTAAAGTTAAATATTCGTTAAATGATAAGAAAATGTATTTTTAGTTATCCAGCGCACATGAGTTTACATTTAACGCACATTGAAATGTTAAGGGTTAACATCGAAGGATATTTGAACAGAAAATCCCAAACGATGGGTTTGTGTCTGTGATACATTTGGGATATTTTGTTAAATTTTGTTTGAGGTCTGTTAACATTTTGCTGGGATGGTTAATGGCATTGCTATTTTATTTTATTTTTTTTTTTTTTTTTGGACGTTACTGTCTACATTTCACGTTTGAGGGTTAAATTCGTTTTTTTTTTTTGGTATTTTAATTTGGTTAATAATATAAATTAAATGGAAAAATAAAACAAAAATGAAATGAAAATGTTAATTGTTGTTACGTAGGATGATAGGATTAATATTGTTAATCTTCTCGGTTTTGGATGTAAACGATTATATATAAATTTGTTGAATCTATTGAAGCCTAACATAAATACACTGAATGGCAAATTATGTTCGATGTTATGGTACAATTTAAAGAGATAATGTGTGGAATGAAAATCTTCTTTATATGAGACTAATCGAAAGAGAAAATAAACCATAAAATTTCGTAAAAGACAAACTAACAGGGAAAGGGAAAATAATATTCTTTATTTGTCAATTTGTCCTTCACGAAATTTTGTGTTTCTGTCTCTTAACTAATTCCGCGAGTTATTCAAAAATTATTATTCTGAACACCATCTACATATGAAGTATTTGGTAAGTAATAGTGGAGGTCACCACCGTTTTTCGGTGTCATAATATAGAGGAGGTAAAATATGGTTTTGAGTGAGCATTTTCAATTTTTTTTTTTTAGAACATAATTTATTGGCCTCCTTTGGATATATAAATTATTTCCTATAGCAGTTCAACTATAAGAACAATTTTAAAACTGCAGATTTTAAAGGAGAAGCTTCTAGCTTTCTATCAAAAAAATATGCTAAGTGGAAGCTTCTCGCCTTCTATCAACCTTATTCAAAAAACCTAATAAAAGCGCCGTCTACATTTAAATTTACAGTCTAGGCTCCCAAATCAACAATACATATGACAATGAACGCCATCTACTTGACAAAAATCACTGTATGAAACCTGCATTGCTAGTGCATAAATTGAATAATAAAAAATAAATTGAATAGCGCCACCTACAGGTGAAATAATTCATGCTTCGACGTGGGCTAACCAAAAGTTTGGAAACCACAGAAAAGAGACAAAATATAAGTGGTCATTTACTTCTAAAAATCAGAGTTTAATATCAGGAATACACATGGCAATGAACGCCATCTAGTTGACAAAAATCTGCATTAACGCTGCATAAATTTAATAACAATAACACCACCTACAGGTGAAATATTTCATGCTTCGATGTTGGCAAACTTCACCTACTTTGAAAGTTATGATAAAAACAAAATGTTGGCACCTCAGCTTACTGAATCTCTATTTCTTATAAATTAATTATTATTAACGCCACCTAGCGCTGAAGTAATTCTAAACCATTTTAATTAATAAGACGATCGCGACTGTAACATGGAATAGAGAAGTTGTCAGCAACGTTGAGTACATAAATGTTATTATCACAAACTTCTAGGGAACCCAAACTTGACATCCAGGAAACCGAAATTATTTTCCAAATTAAAATATTCATGATGTGGGCGCTAAGTTAGACAACTTTGGGAGTTCCGGTCAGGCAGAGAGGTTTTTAATGAGAAACAATGTGAACTATAGAGGGAAAATATGAAATAATTTACTCACTAAACAATCTATCACTATCCTAGGAATTCTAGCTTGAAATTCAGGAACCCGAATACTTTTCAGAATTAAAATATAAATGTGATTCGATGTGAGCTAACTTCACCAACTTTGAGAAAGTAAAAAGCTCAAGTGACTTACTCTATATATATGAATAATTACCGCTGCTACTTCACAATAAATGATGACGCCATTAATTGTTGAAATAATTTAAAGTTATTGTTATCTTGTCTCAAGAACCCATTTTTAAGGCATCGTCCTCAATATCTAGGAAATCAGTCTTGAAATAAATAATCCGAAATCCAGGTGGTCAACCCATAGTTTTAGTGCGAGCGGTAGATCTGGCACATAAAGAACTTTAGCACTTGGAAAATTTAGAGATTTTTCTATATTCCCTATATAAACAACTTTCGGAACATAAAAATTTCCTACATTGTTCCAGGGGAGAATTTTGAGGATGAGGTAGAAAACTCCGAACAATATGAGAACGAACTTTTTTATAAAAACATCTTCACGTATATGATTAAAACCGCCATCTACCGGTAAAAATATTAATAAAAAAAAACTAGTATGAGTTTAAAGCACTGTCTATTTATGTATCTTCCAAAAGAAACTAGAATTTAGGGCTACTAGATCTGAAATCCAGGTGGTAAACAAAATCAACAAATAGTTTTAGGTGTAGAAGTAGAATTGACATCTAAGGAACTTTACGAATTGGAGAAACTAAGAGGTGAATATTCTCTACATAAACAACTTTCCAAAATATGGAATAAAAAGTCTCAGAAAAAATGTTGCTTAAGAATTGGTTTCCGAAGTAAAATATAGAGGGACTCCTTCCAAAATGAATCGTAAAAGTTAAACATGCTCTTTTGATACTGCAGTTTAAGTATGGAAAATTACAACCAGATGGTGTTTAAACAACGATATTCAATTGAACTATAATGCTTTCTTTGTATTCCTTAAAAAAGTAATAACGTAAAAATGAGGAACTTCCTTCGGATTTTAAAAATTTTGACCTGAAGAACGTTCAGACTTTGTAATAATTTAAATTATAGGAACTCTATCAAAAATGTATTCAAGAAGTTAACGAGCGCTGTCTGTACGTCGATTTCATTTTAGAATTGTTTTCACAGTTGACAGTAGAAAACAATTTGACAACTAGATGGAGCTTAAAACTAGATCCTGAATTTTTTTATAACGTTTTCTATGTATATCCTTAAATGAGAGGATTGATAGAGCCTTGCAAAAATTCATTGAAGCCCAAAATTCTAAAAATTAACCACATTCTTTGAGGTGTAGAAATGACATGAGTGACAGTCAATTTGCGATTAGAGAAATGTTAGGGAGTATTTTAAAATTTGTCCTAAAAGTTATATCTGTATTTCAAGTTGTACAGATTGAAAACTTGCAGCGAGATGGAGCTTAAAATACGATCATTAATTTCATTCTAACCTAAAATTAATCTAAAAAACCTTAAAAATAATCCTCGGAAAATAGCAAAATTCCGAAAGTGAAGCACTTTATTTGGAGTGTAAAAATATTTATTCAGAGATGGACGACATGAATGACTTTCAGGTTGTGATAAGTGAAATATAGGAGGCTTTTTTAAAATGCAACCTAGAAGTTAATGAGCGCCACCTGTATATTATAACTGGTGTCGTATTCTCAGTTTTTTCGTTTACTGTAGAAAATAATGTGATTACCCCGTGGGACTTAAACAAAATTGGAAGATTTTTTTGCTATACCTTAAAGCGTGAGGGTACATAGAATACTGAAACAAAAATATTCATGCAGAGTTAATCCGAATTGATATATAGGCGGTTATTTCAGTATTAGTTCTAGGAATTAGTGAGCGCCATTTATACTATAATTTTAATGTCGATTTATGAATGTTTTTCAGTTTCGAGTGGAACACAAAATTGACAACAAGACGATCTAATTTTAGTTTTATAGTTTGAAGTATTAACAATGAATATAACCTAAAAAATTAATGATTTATTCTCTTCTTAAAAAATATATTCCTTAAAGGAATTTTAATATAAATTTTTTAAGATTTTAGAACAGCTGATGCTCAGAAAATGCCCGAATCCGAAAGTTATCTATTTTGGCAACAAGTTTTATAAGAGAAATAAACCGCATCTCCTGCCTTGCTTTTTTCCCGTATTTCAAAATTTTTCAAAATGTGATTTGAATTTATTAAAACAGCTGATCCTCAGAAAATGTCAGAATCCAAAACTTATCAATTTTGGGAAAAAATTTTATAGGATAAATAAAGGGTTTATCGGTTCTTCCGTTAGTCCCGTAATTCAAAGATTTTCATAATGTGATTTATGTTTTCTATTTTTTGTAATTTTATTTTGAAAATAATTTTCTTCACAAATTGTACCATAACATTTTTCAGACATCGAAGAGCTAATTTTTGCCTAACATCAAACAATGATTTGGTTAGCACGGTGATATACAACAGACAATGGAACATTGACTATAGCTGAAGTCTGATGTTTGATCTTTTGTAAAGTATTTCGAAGGCGATGATTTTTGTGGATTTATTAATTAAATTGTAATTATTTGAATTTTGCTTTGCATACAACAACAATATTCAGGTGCTGTTAAGACATTCAACAACAATCTTGATGGAGATACTATTTCTCTAGACATAGAGGTGGTATATAGACCCCTATGTTCAATCTTCACATAGGTAATGCAATTACTTACAGGATAACAACCCTTTAGAAGGGATATGAAATGTTGTTGTTGTCGTTATGTTAACGTTTATATAAATATATAGAAAAAATTTAAAAAAAAAAAAACGAAATGAAAGTTAGGAAAAGAAATTTCTCAGAAAAATAAAAACACAACCTTAATATATTTTGAAATAAAATGTTAATAACTGAAAATTATTACAAAAGGTGCAAGTAATATAAAATCTTTAAAACAACCTTTTTTTAAAAAGAAGAGATTAACATTTATACTTAAATATCAGTTTGTATTTATTTATGGTAGGCATGCTTCCATTAAATATGTGATGTGATCCGCAACTGGGAAAAATTCGAAGAGACTTTCAAAAATATATTTGTCTCTCGTTTCTTGGATTTCAAAAAAGATTAACAAGCAAAGGATAGAGGGGAGTATTTTAAAAAAAAGAAAAATTTTAAAAATAAATAACATTGTCATCAATTGTGGTTTATGTTTCGTCAAAAATTGAATTGAAACATTTGCTTATATATGAAAATGCCACATAATTATAAATATAATAATAATAAAATATTTTATATTGCTAAAATTCGTTAGGGGGGATATTTTTTGGTGGTGGTTAGGTTTTTGTCTTAATACTAAGTGTAAAATTATTTGGCGTGTATTTTTCTGTTGATATTTTTTTTAATATTTACAAAAAAAAGCCTGACCCAAAACCTTTTTCATGTATTTTTTCAAACACATTGTGTTTTTCTTTTTTGCTTAGGAAAAAATGTTAAAAAATCAATTTTCTGTTCTTGTTACCATCATTGCATTAAAGCCAATTTTGGAATTTTTTATCTTCGGTTCGTATTTTCTTAAACTAAACTAAAGCAAAACATAGAGGACAACCAAAAAAAAACCGAAAAAAGAAAACTGTTATACAAACTGAAAAAAACAGATTGTTTGTAAATTTCTCTCAAAAAAGTATCTAGATTGTTATGTGGTTTCAAAAAAAATTTGCACTGCTTACTTATTACCTATAGCTTTTTTTCCACTGGGTTTAGTATCAAAAATTTCCATTTCAAATTAAGTCACAAAAAAATTCAGATGATATTCTTCTTTGTTTTTTGCAAATAAATATAAATTAAAAAACCATAAATGAGTTACAGCAACCCAAGCTACAGTTTAATTTCACATTTTTGGCCATTATTTTGTTTTTGAAAACAACTAAAAATGGTGCAGTTAAAATAAAATATTCTAACCTAAAATTTTAATAAATTTTTCCATTTTATCGCATTGTATTAGAAAAAGCAAATATTTTTTTTTTTTTAATAAAAAGAAAAATTGAAATAACCAAAATCCCTAGCAATATTATGGATCAACCTATTGGAAGGTTTCCGGAATATAAACCCTTTATTATATCATTGTCGTCCAAACCGAATGTTAGTATTTTAAACTAAAGATTTTTTTGGTTAGTTTTGAGGCTGGGTAAATAATTTAATTGTAAAAAATATTATTGAAGTGGTAATTAAAGGTCATGTATCATGGGTTATTCTTATAAATAAAATTCTATTCAAAAATTTTAAAATTTGACAATTTGAGTAGACATTTCTCAAAAGAAGCCTCATAAATAGACCAGTATATATTTTTTAATAAAATACGAGCTACACATTTACTCGATGGACAACTAATTCTGACATTCTTTATATGGAAGGGCATGGAATATACAGTTCCCGACAAAATATTTATTACCCACCCATCAGAAGTTTTCATTTTTCCTATAAAGATAAGAAAGAAATCTAGTTGCGGACTTAATGAAATATAAATAAACAACTACAAGGACTTCTTGACCAGGGGGTCTTCTACTCCAAAATCAGGAAATATTCTATAAAAAGTCCAGACGATGTCGGCTCGAAGTTCTACCAACAGAAGAACAGACGATCTTCTTATAATATCCTAGATAGTCCTTTTTAGAAGCCCAAAATTTATTTTATAGCAGATAAAGAGGATTTCTGAAGGAGACCATACGATTTCTAGAAGGAGACCATAAGTTTTTTAGGGGGAGACCAGGAAGTCTTCTCTTAATGGCCGCATAGTGTTTTTCTCGTAGAGAGAAGGTGATCATCTTGTAGGAGATCAGGAGACTTCAAGAAGACGAAAAGGTATTTTCAAAAATGTTAGGAGTTCTTCTTTGCAAAGAAGACCTGTAGGTTTTCTTATAAATAGCCCTAACGTCTGCTCTTAGAATAACTGGAGGTGTGCTCGCAGATAACAAGGATGCCTTCCCATAGAAAATCCAGAGGACTTATCGCTTTAAGACCAGGAGTACACTTATAGATGTCCAGGAGGTCTTCTCTAAAAACAATTAGGAGGTCTGTTAGAAGAATAGATCGGATGGGCCTTCACAAAAGACCAGAAACGTTTCTGCTCATAGGAGAACATAAGGTCTTCTGTAAGATTAATATATTAAATTTTCATACATTTTCATATGACAGAAAATTTTCTCATGGGGAAAAAGAGGACCAGATGGTGCTCTCATTGAAAACCAGAAACTGTTCTCATAGAAGTCCAAAAATCTTCTCATAAAATATCAAACGGTCTTTTCAGAGAAAACCAGGCGGTCTACTTATGGAAGACTAGAAGGAAGGATTTCTAATATATGACTGAAGGAAGAGCAAGAAGTCTTCTCGGAGAAGAGCAGAAGGTCTTCTCATAGAAGAGCAGAAGGTCTTCTCATAGAAGAGCAGAAGGTCTTCTCATAGAAGAGCAGAAGGTCTTCTCATAGAAGAGCAGAAGGTCTTCTCATAGAAGAGCAGAAGGTCTTCTCATAGAAGAGCAGAAGGTCTTCTCATAGAAGAGCAGAAGGTCTTCTCATAGAAGAGCAGAAGGTCTTCTCATAGAAGAGCAGAAGGTCTTCTCATAGAAGAGCAGAAGGTCTTCTCATAGAAGAGCAGAAGGTCTTCTCATAGAAGAGCAGAAGGTCTTCTCATAGAAGAGCAGAAGGCCTTCTCATAGAAGAGCAGAAGGCCTTCTCATAGAAGAGCAGAAGGCCTTCTCATAGAAGAGCAGAAGGCCTTCTCATAGAAGAGCAGAAGGCCTTCTCATAGAAGAGCAGAAGGTCTTCTCATAGAAGAGCAGAAAATCTTCTCGGAGAAGACGAAACGGTCTTCACATAGAAGAGCAGAAAATCTTCTCGGAGAAGACGAAACGGTCTTCACATAAAAGAGCAGAAAATCTTCTCGGAGAAGACGAAACGGTCTTCTCATAGGAGAGCAAAAAGTCTTCTCGGAGAAGACGAGAAGGTCTTCTCATTTAAGGGCAGAAAGTCTTCTCGTAGAGAATTTGAAAATCTGCTCATAAACGAGTAGAAGTTATTCCCAAATGAGATCAGAAGGGCTTTCTATAGAACAAAAGAAGATCTTCTGATAGACGGCCGGATAGACTTTTCACATTGAAGATAAGAGTGCCTTTTCTCTCTCTTGGGCTTCTCATAAAAGGTGTAATGGGTTCTGAATAAAAGGTCTGATTGGCTTCCCATAGAAGGCTAGAAGTTCTTCTCTCAAATGTGTTTTGTTTCTCAAAGAAGAACAGTTGGTGTTCGCTTAAAAATAGCCATCTTATAGAAGACCCGATGGTCTTTTCTCAAAAAAAAAAAAAACACCCAACGGTCTTCTCTCAAAGAAGACCAGACAGTCTTCTCACAGAAGTCTCGGTGAACTCCTTACAAAATACCGGACGGTCTTCTTTCAAGAAAACCCAGACGGCTTCCCTCAAAGAAACCAGATGCCCTTATACAAAACCGGACGATTTTCTGAAGGTATCCAAAGTCGTCCTCATTTAAGATTAGAAAATGTAATAAAGAGGTCTGTTCAAAAAAACCCTTCTCGAAGATCTACCCATATGAAGACAGAAAATTTTTGATGTGAAAGCTGAATGAACCTTTCATAAAAAGCCATAAGCCCTTCTCACAGAAGGTTCACTCATAGATGATATTATAAATGAAGGCTACATTTTTTTTCTCGTATCGGGAAGGGCCTGAAAAGATATCAGAATTTTTAGAGGACACTTAGGCTAACATAGACTCTGTGTTATATTTCCCTTACAAGAATGGGTTGTTCTGTTTCTACTGCAGAATAAATTTCTGAAATTCTTAGATTGAAATATTTGTATTTTTTAAATCCTGGGGTTTGATAATTTTCTTTAGAAATATATTTAGACCCTAAAGTGAAAATGTTGGTTATAACTCCGACAATCTATCTAATTGCTTTCTCTGGGCAAAGATGGCAAAGACTAATTAATTTATTTTCAAAAAGTATTTCTATCCTTCCCTTTTCATACCTTTTACTCCAATAAATTATTTTTTCCAATTAAATTATTGAACCCATTTAAGCTTAGTTTTTTTTTTAGCTTGCAAAGTTGTTAGTAGTTGCAACCAAAGAATGTTTTTGTTAGTTTTTCCTATGTTTTCTTCATTCAAAACATAGATTAAAAAGAAAAAACTAAAACCAAAACTTAAACAATATTTCAAAATAAAAATCAACAAAATACATTTTGATAAATCAGTTAACGAAAAACTTACGTCAAGGGGTTTCTTTAAAACAATCCAGCCAGATTCTGCCTGGATATCGAAATATTCCAGATCATTGGGATTGAAGGGAGCACTCAAACTGTACACTATGGCACCGTTGTTATCGGCATCCTCATCGGAGGCGGAGACACGTAGAATATTTGTGCCAATGCTGGCATCTTGTTTGACATTTTCAACGTATTTCTAAAAGGAAAATAATTTTAATTATTTTAATTGAAATAAAAAAAAATATTTCATTTCAACTTACCTGACGATCAAACAAGGGCGGATTATCATTGACATCGGTAATTTCCACGGTAAACGAACAAACACCCTCCAGACTGGGTTCACCCTGATCGGTGGCCTTAACGGTGACCGATACAAATTTACCATCATCACCCTCACGATCGAACACCTTGTTGGTGGACACCTCACCCGTTTCCTCATCGACGGTGAATTTGGTGCCCTTTTGATTTGGCTGTTGCACAATTGAGTATTTGACCTAAATAAAAATCGAAAAAATAAATAAATAAATGCATTTAATTTATAATTGAATTAATTATGTGGTTTTGATTGTCAATTTTCAGGTCTCATTTGTTGTTGGGGGTTTTTTGTTGCTTTCGTAACATAATTGTATTTTGAATGGGAAATGTAATTATTTTTTCAACGGCAACAATAATAATTTGAATAAATTATATTCCAATGGCATTGAGGTTCAGGGAATTGTCAGGAGATTATTTTTTATTACGAAATGTTGGTGATAATGGGATTTGTAACTAAAAATGAGGTAATATTTGTACTACTCTGCATTCAGGGTATTTGAAAAATTTCTCAATAGGTTCTCAAAGTTTCAGAAGAATCAGGTCTGAAAATAAAAAGTATTTTTTGTTCGAAATTTAAATTCAGAAAACAAAACAGATTCGAGGTCTCTACAATTTTTATGCCCTTCACCAACTATGGAGGCTATATAAGCTTTGTCAAAGCGCTTGTAACTCCTCGAAATACTCATATCAGACCCAATTGTTCGAAAATTAAGGAAGCGACTTGATCGAAACCCGCGTCGCAGTGGCCGAAAAATGGCTTGTGAGCTGAACATATCGCAATATTCTAGTCGGCAAATATTGAAACATTAGCTCGAGGTAAAGCCATTGAAATTCCAAAAAAGTGCAAGAACTTACAGCGCAACAGAAAGAAAATAGACTCAAATAGCAAAAGAGTTGCTTCGCTGGGCCGAAAGTGGTAAACTGCCAAATTTGGTTTTCTCCGATGAGAAAACATTCGTTGTCCAGCAGTTTGTACAAAACAAACAAAATGATCGCGTTTTCTTGCCAAAGAGGTCAGCTGAAAATGGGCACCTTCGGTTGGCCACCAGAATTCAAGCGCTGGTTATGGTGTTGGTGTAGGCCGCCATAACAGCCGATGGTCGCTCTCTGCTCGTATTAATCGAGCGTGGCATCAGAATAATGCCGAATATTATCGCGAAAATATTCCGAAGGGTGTATTAAAGCCTTGAAACACGCAAACATTTTGGCCGCAGACCTTGGACATTCTAACAGGACTCAGCATCATCGCACTCAGCACGCGCCACCCATGAATGGTTTCAAAATGAGGTTCCTCGTTTCATTTCCAGTACACAATGGCCACCAAAATCTCCGGATACCAATCCGGTGGACTATTGTGCCTTTGGTAAAAAATACCAAAGTGTCGATCACCTCAAGCAAGCGTATCGCCGAGAATGAGCCAATATTCCGCAGAGCAACATTCGGACAGCGTGAGACGGTTTCATTGGCCGTTTGAAGGTCATAATTCGTACCAAAGGTGAGCAATTCGAAGAAATTTGGACTTATTCTAAAATTTGAAGCTATCTCCGACATTTTTTGTTTCCTTCAATAAAATTTAAAAAATGTAAAAATTACGGCGTTTGACTTTGTTGCAGTTTTTTCATCTCATCCTGAATATCAGCATATATTTCTAAGTCCATTTAGCGATGTCCGTCTGTCTGTTGTAATCGCGACATCGAATTGAGATAAAAAGCTAAAATTTTGCACACATGTGTATTTTGCCAGTGGGCAGTTTTAGTTCGCAAATGGGTCATATCGGTCCACGTTTTTGTATAGCCCCCATATAACGATACCTCCCGATATTCGGTATTTTGAAGATTTTAGCGACATTTTCCACCGGAATTGTTTCAAATTCGACATTTAAAGCTCGTAATGGGTAGTACAGCCTATGAAAAAAATCGGTGTATACCAAAAAATTGGCAAATTTTCTCATTTATGTATTTAAAACAGTGTGGTTTCCTAATTACCTGTCCATCCCTCACAATTATTCCCATTACAATTTATTCTCAAATAATAAAATTTGCATCCTTACCTGACCATTAACACCCTTATCCTCATCGGTGGCTACAACCTTAATAACCGGACTGCCATTGGGGGCACCTTCTTCCACCTTTGGATAATATGTGGCACAATCCTTAAACACTGGCTTATTGTCGTTGACATCGGTGATAAAGACTACCACCACTGCCGTCGAAGTGTGTATCGTCTGGTCACCATTGACACAACACGAACCATCATCCATGGCTGTGACATTCAACTCATACTTATCGCGATCCAAAGTAATTGCCTTATTGTGTAAACGTATCACACCCGTTATATCCTCAATAACAAACTGACCCGACGATGTGCCACCGCCAACAAAACCGAAACGCACATTATCACCATCTTTGTCGGAAGCCACCACCGTGGTAACCAACGTATTGGGTCCAGCATTTTCATCAACATTGGGAGTATAGACTTGTTGCGAGAATTTCGGTTCTTCATCGTTTTTATTTTTCGTATAAACACGGACAGTGGCCACACCCGATTTGGAGGGTTCACCTTTATCCTTCGCGGTAACTAAAAATTCATAATAGGCATTGTTGTTATCGGCATCCAATTGTTTGTTGTTGACTATTATGCCATTGGTATCCACAGCAAAATGATCATCCGATACTAAATATTCAATTTCAGCATTTGCCCCAGAATCGGAATCCATGGCCTTGACACGCAGAATGCTAGTGCCGAGCGGTATGTCTTCATCCACATTGTGTGCCTGATAATCGGGTAATTCAAATTTCGGTGCATTATCGTTGACATCGGTGACACGGATTGTGAGCTGTAAGAGGAGAGAGAGAGAGAGGAGAAAATAAAATTAGAAAAATGTCAATAATTAAAAAGTCAATGTCCAAAAATATTTCAAATAAATGATTTTTTTTTTTTTTTTTTGGAAAAATATTTTTCTAGGGATGTCAGGTTTATAGTCGTAGGCTTTTCAAGAATGTTTGTGAGTATTTGAGTTCGGAGTATTTGATTGTATTGACTGTACTCACGCTACAGCTCGCAATTTTTTCCCGGAAATTTGGATGGAGTGAGAGTTAGGGTCGGAATAGCAGCCTATTGTTTTCATAGATGATTGTAAATATTTAGTGGTTGAAATGGAACAAATTCTAAAAAAATATCCTGACATTGCATTTGCTCTGCAGGTCACACCTTTAGATGAATCCGCCTGGAATTTTGCATGAAGTAAGAGAAGACAGAGAAGGTGTTAACCAATTTGGATGGTCATCGGATAATGTTCAAAGAGTGAAATGTATGATAATATTTGTGTGACTTTTACCCAAAATTTCAATTGTGCTGCGAATATTTTTAATCCCGACAAAATCAAATATACTTAAAGGACACTTCTGACCGATAGATTGATGCCGATATCCAAAATATTGGAAATATAGCAAAATATATACAATCTACATATATCATAGAAGGGATAAGGCCGCTTTTAAGTCGGAAAGGGCTGAACTGATTTTGGCAGTTCTCACCAATTAAGAATGGCCCTCGGCAGAAAAGAATAGAATCTAAAAAAAATCGAAAAAAAAATATGCCAATATTTTTTGTTACATTTTGACATATATTTGGACCGCAATTTTGACATATATTTGGACCGCAATTTGAGCTTCAATACTGAATTTTACATTTCTTAATTTGCGTTGAAAATATTACATAAAGGTCAAAAATTTCGCCCGATCCTCAGAAATTCTGAATTCAGAAATGTTCCATGAAGGTTGGGTTAGGGTCACAATAAAAATCTATTGCTCTTGAAGATGTTCGCAAGATATTTAGGGGCTCAATTAATCAGTCTTCAAATGACAATTAAATTATTGAGGTTAGAGTTTAGGGCAGGGTAGATTACTAGCATTTTAGATGATCATCGATCAATATTTAGGCGGTAAAATTGACCACAAAATTGGTTTGAAATTATTTCGATTACCTATCAAAAACAGGTTAAAAATATATTGCAGGACAGTATGAAATTACTTCAAAAATGTAATTTATCAAATAGGTCTGGACCTAAGGGGGCTGTCCAATATATACACTTAATATATTAGTGAAAAAAATGACTGGCTGATAATCAACGCCCAGACGAAATGTCTGAAGCTAGAATTGTACTAGGCACGAAATCAGTCTGGGTTTGTTTGTAATTCCGTACTAAAAGGGCACGAAAAATACAAAAATGTACAAAAAATTTAATACTTTGGATTGGACAACTCGGAGCACACAATAAATGTACAAAAGGGTGTTTGGATAGTTGAACTCTAAGGTTACAAAAAGTTCTAAAATGGTACTAAACTTTTAAAATGGTACCATTAGGTATTATGAGAATGGATAGAGCTAAAAACTTGAAATTTGTTATGAAAATCAAGGTTGGAAAGTACGATTGATATATGAAGGTGCTTTTGGAAATGTTTACTAAGTGTGCGAATTGTACTAAATGGTACTTAATTTGAAATGGTTTGGTTGAAGGTGAACGCATAAAGCTGGAATTTTTTAATTTTCGATTGGGGTCCCTATTGTTGGTGTAAAGGTGTGGTTTTGGAAATGGTTACTACAAGTGCACGAAAAGTACTAAATAGTACTTCATTTGGTACAATTTGGTATTGGGTGAATATATAGTGCTTGCAGTTTAAAATGTTGTATTTAGACCGCTGTTCAGCCTAGACATATGGATGTAGCTTCAGAAATGTTTACTATAATTGTAAAAAAAGTACTAAATGGTACTATATTTGGTATTGGATAAAGGTATAGGGCTGAAATCCTCAAATTTGATATAAATGGCACGATTGGTGTCTGTAGTAAATATATGGGGGTGGTTTCGGAAATGTGTACTGTAATTGTACGATAATTACTAAATGGTACTATATTTTGTATAGGTTGCAGGGAAAGAGCTAAAAATATGAAATTTGATATTTAAATGGCTGATGGCATCTGCATTTGAGATTTGGCGTTCTTCTTTTACAAAAAGTACTAAATGGTACTTAATTTGGTATTGGGTGAAGGAATAGGGCTGGAATCCTCAAAAATTGAGTTTGAGATCTCTGTTGATATCCGGAATAGAGATATGTAGTTGGTTTTGTAAATGTGTAATATAATTGTTCGAAAATTACTAAATAGTACTAAATTGTCTATTGGGTGAACGAATAAAGCTAGAATCCTGAAATTTGATACAGATGTTACTTTTTGTGTCAGTGGTCGAGAGAAGGAGTTGGTTTTGAATATGCGTACTATGTGGTACCAAATTTGGTAAGGGGGGAAATTCAAGAGCTGAAATTCTGAAATTTGATATTAAGTTCTCTGGAATTGAGATATGGAGTTAGTTTTGGAAATCTGTACTAAAATTATTTCAAAATTTACTAAATATTGAGTGATTGTATAGAGCTTGTAACTCGAAATTTTATATTGTGTATCTGGTATTGAGATTTACTAAATTTGGTACTAAATTTGCTACTAATTTTGAATTATTGTTGCTGTCTAGAATGGAGAGTTGCAGATTGATTTCGATATGCGCACTAAATATTCATAAATTTGGTATTGGTTGAATATTGTTTGTTTCTAGGGTTTACAAATGAAGACGTTGATATAGATTTGGACAGATACATAGGATGTGGGTGCATTGTGCATTGGTTTTACTAATATCCTCCCCGGTAAATTTCAAAATATAAGATTTTGAATTTTTTTTTGGTGTAAAAGGAAAACGTTTTTCCATTTTTCGTTCGAAAAAATGAAAAAAATTGAATATAATAGAAAACTTTGGAAGTCAGAAAATTTAATGAATATGAATATTGTCAAACCTTTGTGCCTTTCGGGTACTAAAAAGGACCTAACACGAACTGTTGTAAATCTGAATTTATCTTCACCAAATTTGACATACTAGCTTCTAGACTCAATTTGGTCATAAGTGCCAAATTCCATCGCATTTGGGCTAATATTACACGTTTGATGCACAATATAAGGCAAATCGGACGAAGTTATATAGGGATATAGGGAGCTATATCCAAATCTGACCCGATCTCAATAAAATTTAGCAAAGCCATTTAATGAGCTAAATTTGATATATTTTCCCAAATATGTTGTTGTTACAGAGTGCATATTACGGCTGCGAGGAATAAAATAATAAATCGGATGAACAGTATATATGGGAGCTATAGCTATATCTGAACCAATTTCGATTAAGTTTGGTATACATTTTTTCAGGCCTAATTTAGTCGTAAGTGTAAAACTTCATAGTATTTGGGCAGATATAACACGTTTGGTGTACATAATAGGCAAATTGGACGAAGATATATATGGGAGCTATATCTAAATTGTGACCGATTATTTCCGACTTCAATAGGGTTCTTCCTTAATCCAAAAAAACCATTTGTGCAAAATTTCATCTGGATCGTGCAATAAATGCGAACAGTACTTCGTTTACCAAAATATATAGACAGACGGATGGACGGATGAACATGCATAAATCGACTCAGAATGTGATTCTATGCAGATCATCAAAAGGAACTATGGGTCTACCTCGTTTCCTTTTGCCTGTTACAAACAAATGCACAAAGACATAATACCATGACCACCTTGTGATGAAGGGTATAAAAATGGGAATCGGTGAATTTCTTGCAAACATTTTTGGTAAGTCTTGTCCTTATTTTTTTAAAGAATACTGTTAAGGACTACCAGACCTCAAATTGGGAATTTTGAAGAAATTGGGATGAATGTTTTTCGAATTTTGTAAGAATTGAAGTCTATATTACAAAATGCTAATTTCTTAAATAATCATTTTTTATGGACATATATAGAGGGCCTCTAGAGATATATGAGCCCTTTGGAAGGTCTTCTATTGACTACAGTATCTTCCAATCAAAGAAGACATTTTTGTGATCTTATATAGACAGAACATATTTTGAAAATCCTCTATGAGCGAAATACCTTTTAGGTGTCTCCTTAATATAAAAGGGCTCTTGAGGATTTTCTATAAACAGAAGACTTTCTGGAGGTTTTCTCTACAGAAGTCATCTCAAAAGTCTTATATATAGAAAATATCACAGAAGGTCGTTTAGAATGATGAATGATGACCTATAAAAGTTAGTTCGTTAACATAAAAACTTCTAAAGATTTCTTGGCTATACAAGATCTTTGAAAGGACGTCTTTCTAAGGACGAAAAACCCAAAGGTGTTCTATCTCTAAAAAATTCTGTATAAAGGACGTTCTGTAATATGGATGTCATTCCAATGTATAATGGGAAAAGAAATTTGACTAGGGAATCCTAAAACGAAGGGTTGTCAAAAAACGGACACTTTCTAAATGAATAATTTTTAAACGCATTTTTTATATTTTCTTCGAGGTCTTCTTAAGGGAAGGATTTTCCACTGATCCATTAAGTATATTAAAGCTGCTGTAAATGTTTGTTATGTTGTAAGTCCTCCCATGGGCTTTGCAACAATTTCTGATTTATTATCTCATTAATCCCTTTACAATAACCCAACATTTTTTTTTCAATATCTAATAAACATTTCATCTATTTTCAATATCCGGAATCATATTTTCCCTAACGAGATTACATCTCAGCTCGATGCAATTTAAATAAAATTTACTGTCTACAGTTTCGTTTTTATTAAAAATACGAACGAAACGAAGAGAAGCTCTGCTGAGTAAGAAAATATCCAATAAAACTGTCAATTGACGGCAATGTTTCCTTCCTGCCATTAGTTTTTCATGAAATAACGAAGTACTTTTCTACACCTCACCCATTCACTCCCTCCGCTCCAAATCCGACCTCCATCTTTGCATTGCTTTTGAAAATTATGCATTTAAGTGCAATCGCTGGGCTAAAGTTACAAAACAAATCTCTAGTGACATTAAATTGCCCTTGGAAAATTTACTACCATCATTACCATGTGGCCCAATATCCACCATCCGACCACACCACCCATCATACGCCCAAGTCAATAATTCAAAGGCGAGTTTGAGCGAAAGAACGAACGAACGACGATAACGACACAGAAGTTCAGTCAACCATAAGTAATACAAAACAAAAGGGTCTTGTGTGTTGGAAAATTTTTGCAGAACTAAGACCCTTAGGATTATAAGAAAAAGCTTGGGAGGTGGGGGAAGATTGCGAGGTCGGTCGGTGGGCGGGTGACCCAAACAATGTGCCAACATTACAATTTGCCATTAGAGCATATTGAAAATTTTCAAGAAAGTCTTAACTCATGGCGAAACCAATACACTCACACACACATACACACAACATCAACATTATTGCCGTTGACACCGAACGAAGGAGCGCGTAGTTTCTGGCTTTCAAACAGTACTTACCTCAACAGATGTGGAGAAACCACCCGAATCCTCGGTGGCTGTTACAATCAGCGAATAGACATGAGGCTGTCGTAAATCTTCAAAATCCAATTCTTTGGCCAACTTGACAATACCCGATGAGGGACCAATGTTGAATGTGCCAGCGCCCTGGCCTTGAGCCTTTAAAGTGTAACGAATTTCACGGTCTGCAAATGACTTGGCTTTGACGGAAATAATGCTGTGGGGCGAGAGAAAGGAAAGAAAAAAGAAAGGTAAGGTAACGAAATTAAAGCATACTTCAAGGCAAAGAAATTAAATAAAATTTCAAGTCTCTCTCCTTGGGCAAAATGAATTTATTGGCATTAGGAGAGGGGAGGGAGGGAGGTAAGGAAGAAATCAAGTCATAAAATAAAAATGGCTTGGGACCACATTAATTTAATTTCCTCAAACCCCTGTGGGGCCAATAAATTCTCCTGCACAATGAAATCAATGAAAAAAAAAATTCGATAAGGACTTACTCTGAATCCTTTTTCTGATTTTCCGGAATCTCTGCCTCATAGCTTGGCATATAGAACTGGGGTGCCCGCTTGCCGCCCACAATGCTCAAACGCTCCTCAGGTGTACTTTGGAAACGCCTATCATCTACCTTACCATTTTGATCTTCAGCCTTAACATAGAGAACATATTCCATATCCAATTGGAAGAGATCAGTGCCGCGGGTCCTCACCACCCCAGAACGTTCGTCAACTTCAAAACGTCCACCGGTACGATCACGTACAATAAAATAATGAATATTATGATCGGTATCAGGATCACGTGCTTGTAGCGTAAAGACCGGGGTGTTTGGTGGAGCATTTAGTTGAACCACAGCCTGCATAGGTAGGGGGCGATTTATGAAATAGGGTGGCTCATCGTTGACATCTTTCACATGGATGATGACTCGTTGATTATCGGTGTATTTGAGACCAGCTGGAATGACAAGGAGGGAGAAGAAAAACGTAAATTTTCAAATTTATATAAAATAATGTAATATGGAAATAATGGAAATTGTGGGGTATACTTTAAGGCTGAAAAGCAATTTTTTATATTAACCCATTTTGTTCCGAGATTAAATTTTTGTTTTTGAAAAAATTTACTTCTTTAGGCTAATTTGGGCCCATTGATGTTCAAAATTTACTCAGAAAAAAAGTTGAGATTTTTAGTTTTTCCGGAAACCAGTGTTCGAAATTTTAAACAGACAGGTTTACACATATGCACCGTCAGGTTTGTGCATGCAACCCAAGCTTTTCATATTTACATACAGGGTGAAATAAAAAAAATGCAATAATGTTAAACGCTATAATTTTTACATATTTTTTTAAATTTTATTGAATGAAAGCAAAAAATGTCGGAAATAGCATCAAATTTTAGAATAAGTTAAGATTTGTTCGAATTGGTCACCTTTGGCACGAATTATGGCCTTCGGCCAACGGAAAATGAAACCATCACATACTGCCCGAAAGTTGCCCTGCGGTATTTCGGTCCATTCCCTGCGAAGCGCCTGTTTGAGGTGATCGACACTTTGGTATTTTTTAGTGCCAACCTTGCTTTCCCAAATACTCCAAACACGATAGTCCAACGGATTGGTATCCAGAGATTTTGGTGGCCATTCTGCGCTGGAAATGAAGCGAGGAACCTCATTTTGTAACCATTCTTGGGTGGCGCGTGCTCAGTCCGATTGGAATGTTCAAGGTCTGCGGCCAAAATATTTGCGTGTCCAAGGCTTTAATACACCCTCCAGAATATTTTCACGATAATATTCGGCATTTATTCTGATGCCTCGGTCGATTTGTACGAGCGGACAGCAACCATCGGCTGTTATGGTGGCCCACAACATCACCATTCTGTTCTGGTGGCCAACCGAAGGTGCACATTTTCAGCTGACCTCTTTGGCAAGGAAAACTCCGATCATTTCGTTTGTTTACAAACTGTTGAACAACGATGTTTTCTCATCGGAGAAAACCAAATTCGGCAGTTTAACACTTTCGGCCAAGCGAAGAAACTCTTTAGCTCTTTTTGGGTCCATGTTCTTTCTGTTGTGGTGTAAGTTCTTGCGCTTTTTGGAATTTCAATGGCTTTATCCCGAGCTCATTTTTCAATATTTGCCGAATGGAATATTGCGATATGTTCAGCTCACGAGCCATTTTTCGGCCACTGCGACGCGGTTTTCGATCAAGTCGCTTCTTTACTTTTCGAACCTTTTCTGCTGATGTTGCTGTTTTCTTCCGTCCACTTCCTTGTCGTTGGGCTACGCTACCACCAGTCTCATGGTAACGAGCGATGGTGCGAGACACAAAAGATCTATTTACATTGAAATGCTGGAGTGCTCTAACGATAGCCACTTGTGGTTTTCCAGCCAAATATAAAGAAATCACACATCACGCTTGAATTCCATCACGAACAACTTTTTTTCTGGAAAATTCTCACGAAAATGCTTTTGTACGCTTGTAAACAATATAATCAGCTGTCAATGGAATAATTATAACATCGGACGAGTGACTTAGAAATGAAAGCAGTCTCACCCTGTATATGTATATATATAGTTTTTATAATATAGCTCAACACATTATATTACATAGCTCCTATAAGTATGCTATAAAAATGTAAAATGTTCAAAAGTCACTTTACATATAACTCTTACATAATTTGGTAATCGGGTCATTGATCCTGAGCAAAATGATTTTTAAAAGTGTTTACGTTAGTGACATCATAGAAAATGTGGGGTATACTTCAAGGCTTAGAACAGTGTTGGCTTGTTTGTGCGGGTTACCATAGTATTTTGGCGTTGCAAAATGGTCAGGCTTAATCCCTTTATTGTTTTTTTTTTATAAAAACAACGTTTGTTTAATAGTGGAGAACGATGATAATGTTTACCAGGGGGTAAGGCAGGGAATAACTAGGCTTCGGAAAGAACCGCCAATCCTTATCAGTATATTTATTTTTTTATAATATTCATTTTTTTTTCAGGCAATGGAAAAATGATTCCTGTTAAAAAGCCTACTATTTGGCTTCTTATATTTTATAAATAAATAAATAAATATAGATAAATAGTTTTTTTTTTAATTTTGGACATATCAAAGCATACTTCTAGGGTATTATGCTTTATAATTGTTGCATACTTTGAGGATTAAGCTCATACATTTCAAAATTAAAATCAAATGCATTTTCTGGGCGGCTTGAAATCAACGATATTAGAAAAGTATAAAAGCCTTTCAAAATCTCGCCAAATCTTTTAAATAAATCCTGTGATACACCCTTTAAAACAAAGCCCTCAAAAGGGTAGCAATACAACAACAACAAAACTCCACACAAACTACATTTTTATATAACAAAAGATGAACAATGCCACATCATGGACGACACATTGTATATTTGTAAAGCACTTTAAAAATTGAAGAAAAAGTACAAACCAACCAGCCTCCTCCTTGGAATCAAGGCTAACATAGACAATCTGTCTCACATGACAGTCATCTGACTTGTGTCAACTGCACGCAAATACAAACAAACACTCTCGCATATACAGAAAAAGGCTGCTTGGCGGTAAAGCTAACAGCAAACATAACTTAAAAGGCGTTTGAGCAAAGAAATTCGAAGTAAGCCAACACAAGTACACAAACATATGCAAAAAAAAGTACATATGTGTGAATGTTTTAAAGAATATTGTGTCAAATAAGCGGAAGAGGAAACATGACAACAAAGGAGTTGTTTCCACACTACTAGAAGCTGAATGGAATTTGGCAAATGGTAGGCGTAATATCCGGTGGCAAAAAAATTTAAACATATATCTTAAGAGAAGATCTACATGTGAGTTTGAATATGAAAATCGGAAAGTTACCATCCAGCGTTTTCGAATTTTGTGTTTAAGTTTTTATACCCTCCACCATACATAGTATGGAGGGTATATTAAGTTCATCATTTCGTTTGTAACTCATCGAAATAATAATTTTAGACCTAACATACATACATATACTTGTATTCTTGATTAGCGTAAATTTCTAAGACGATTTAGATCTGTCCATCCGTCCATATGTTTTAATCACGCTAAAGTCAAAACGAATTAAGAAAGGAAGCTAAAATTTTGCACAGATCAGTTTCTGTCTGCAGGCAGGTTAAGTTCGAAGATGGGCTATATCGTTCGACTATATCGTATATTCCCCCGGTACCTCCTGTACCACCCGGTATTCGATATTTAATGATTTAGCCATATTTTTCAATGGAATTGTCTGAAAATCAACACCGGGAGCCATTTCTGTGTATTTTACCCTCTGTATATGCAAGACCACTTCTTCGTATAACCCCCATATAACGGGTTTCCTTTGAGCGGTACATTTGGATGGTTTTTTTTTTTTGAAAATTTTCAAGTTCCTGGTGGAGGGTATTAAAAGTTCGACCCGGCCGAACTTAGCTGTTTTTTTTTTTATCGTTACTTATATTCTTTTACATCTTTTAAAAATATTTTCTAAAAAATCAAAGTCAAAAGGACTCGCATTTTTTACAAATCTCTTGCAGATATATCTGGACTAAAGTCGATTTATCAAAAAAGTTTTGAAATTCAAGGAATTTAAATCTAAAAAAATCATGGAATTAAAATCGGAAATTAACAATATTAAGGACTTCCTATTTTAAAATAATTTGTATTACAACAATGAAGAACTTCTTAGAAAGAATCGCGGATTTCAATTTAGTGTTTTAAAAGCCCGTGCAGAAATCGCAAATTTTTAGGACATTTGTTTTAGGTAGATATCAATTTTTTAAGATTTTTTTGGACAGAAATAGTAATTTTTTTAAACAACGAATTTTTTCTTCCTTTTGAAAAATTTAAAAATCTCAGGCAAAAATTGTAGGATAAAAAGTATAAACATAAAACTGAAACTAAACCAGTAAGGAAAGCAAAAATCCATTATCCTTGATCCGACATTGTTAAAATTTGGCAAAGGTATTTCTAGGCTGTGTCTGAAATATGGTACCATCATTATTGTGGAGAGCTGGGACTAAAACACAAAATCGGAGGAAACAAGTATATGGAAGCTGTATCCAGACCGATTTTTACCAAATTTGAAGTACTTGCTTGTAGGCTAAATGCTGTCGGATGCACATATTTGGACAAATATTATGCATATGAAGCGCAATAAAATTGAAATCGGACAAAGATATATGTGGGAGCTATATCTTAATTTGGACCGATTCTCAGCAATTTCAATAGGGTTCGTCCTCGGACCAAACAAGTGATATGTGGACGTTTTCATCGCAATCGACATTAAATGCAAATTGTCATTTGATTATAAAAATTCATGGGAGCTATAGCTATATTTAACGGATTTTTGTCCAAATTTAGTACTAAGTACTTGCTCCTGGGCTGAATTCGGTTAGATGTGTCAAAATCCATCCCAACTTGGACGAATATTACACATATGGTGCACAAGAAAACCAAAATCGAACGATGATTTATATGGGAGCTATGTCTAAATTCTCACCAATTCCAAAGCGGGCAGCCCATGAGCTTAACACATTATTTGCCAAAAATTTCATATCAATAGGACAATAAATGCAACCTGTCATTTGATTACAAAAATGCATGGACATGCATAAATCGTGTCAGAACGTGATTCTATGGAGATCATCAAAATGAACTATGGGTCTTTTTCGTTTTCTGCTGCATGTCACAAACAAATGCACAAAGATATAATACCCTGTACCACAGTGTGACGTAGGGTATACATATTCGGTCGAAGGCCAGGCCCACTCCCACAAAAACGTCTGTCAAATTTGGTGGCAGTCTTGGTTTTAATATCTTTCGGAAGGTCAGTCGAATCATGAAGCAAACCATATTCCCTATTATTTTTGCGTGTCTAAAGTCCCGAACACGGTATGAACTACATAAATACCAAAGTTGTACCTTTCAAATCTATAAGCCTCGGTTTTATGAATAT